ATCTTGTGGTAAGATTATGCTCGCAACTATCAATTGTCGTATGAATTACATGTTCTGTATCTGATTGGATGTTCGTTAAATTTGGGAAAGAGGTTATGCCATTAGAAGCAAGTTGAAGCTCATGCCTCTTAATTTCCTACAGTAGGTATTACCAACATTCCCGCGCCGTAGCCGCGCAGTCTGAGGCATCATGCTTCGGACTGGCGATACGGAATGCGCGCTGGTTCGAGTCTCGGGGGAGAAGAAATTTTCTCATGAGCTTTCGACCGGTGTATGGGACCGGTGCCAACCCAGCATCGTGAGGAAATTGGAGAGCTAATGAGTAGCGTAGTCCGGTCGGGAAAGCTAGCAATGGCTGGGGGTTCGGCGGGCTGACCACACGTCATTCTGTATCTGGTTGGATGATCGTTCACCTCTGCTTAGACATGTGAACGTGAGGCCAGCAGCCAGCTAGTCGGCTTTTAGATATTACCAACATGATGGACGTTTATGTCCGTGAGGTTAGACAATGGTGATGCCTTATCAACATGATGGATGTTTAAGTCCGTGAGGTTAGACAATGGTGATGCCGTTACCCACGATGCTCTGTGTATGTTCATGACATTTTTGATGATGTCATCTCTCAGGATGTCTGTTTATGGTTTATAACGAGAGAATGTCTGAATGGTTTTTGACGAAACGTGTGGACATAGTGCCATTGGAGACTACTCCAAATTCACACATTTTAGGTGTTTTTTACTTTTTAGCATCAGCACAGAACACCCTATGGACCCATCGATGTCTGTCTGTCACACCCTCCTGCTGCCACTAGGAACTATGCAACCCCAGGGCTTCTCTGAGTGGTGAAGTGAGTTTAGGGACTCCCACTCCCAAGGCTTATCTGAATTTGGGGCAATGCCACAAGACTTGCTTCCTTAGGACTTCCACTCCCCTGCCTAGACCTTCGTCATACTGGGTTGGAAATTCCTGTTCTGCTATCTCCAGTCAGATGACCTAGGTCTTGGCAAAACTGAGACTGCTAATCTCATCTGGCCTTCCACCATCACAAGTTGGAATAACCACCTTGACTATTCACACAGGGGGTTGTCCACCCACACAGATATACGCCACTTCCGGGGTCTGCGCGTGGATTGCAACGCTTGTGATATCTGTATGCTTTTGATAGCAGAATTTGAAATGCGCGCCCTATGGAATACGCTAGAATTTCAATCGTTTTCTTCGTGCCGTACACTGTTTAACGCTGTCTCTGTAGAAGTACGTGGTTTTGTTTGTAGGACAAGAGATAGACGGCCAGTCACTTTGCCTGAAAGATGTGACAGATGCTTAATTAGTAGAAAACTGAATTTTGAGGATGATCTGGGTGGTGAAGCTGCAGGTGTGGCAAGCCTGATTTTGGACAAGCTTGTGGGGAAAAGCCTAGGGGGTTCTTCGTGGTGTGCAGGCCACTGAGGCAACCTGGTCCTCTTAGTGGCAAAGCTAGTGAGGCAGTCTTGATGGTGTTAAGCGTGGGTTGGTCTCACCCGTGACCCCTCTTAGGAGTGTCCAGTCCCGGCAAAGACGAAGTTATGGATTGCGAATGCCAGGGTTGGCAGCGGTTAGGAAAGGTGACCTGGGTGGAGCATCAAATGCAGGGGTCATGTCTTGATGAAGCCAGAATTCTTGGGAAGGGCCAGGGTAGTAAAGTCTCTGGGTTTTAATCAAAGGGGGTGCAGTCCCCAGAGGTGCTCTTACACTTGACAGTAGAAGCCTAGATGGTGTGGCAAGCCTGGGGTGCTGTAACCTGCAATTGTCATAGCCCAGGAATTTGGAATCCCAGCAAAGGCAGAGCCTAGGTTACAATGCGCGAGAGAAGAAGCCTGAGGGGCAAAGCACCAGGAGGAGAATGGGCAGACGACTTGGCCTCAGACAGTAAGATTGCTCGGGAAAGCCAGGTTTATAATTCCTCTCAGGTGGCAACCCTGGTTTGGAACAAGAATGTGAAAAGGTCTATGGGGCTTTCCAAGGGTGGGCAGTCCTTGGAGCGGTGATTCTGGAACCCAGGGATGTCTAAGCCCATGGGTGTTAAAGTCCCTGGAGGGAAAATCCTAGTGTTGTAAAGGCCCGGTTGAGATGTAACATGGGATTTTGGTAGCCAGGGGTTGGACACGACTGGTGAGGGAGAAACCAAGATGGGGGTTAGAACCGTGGGACCGCAAGCTGCTGGGATAAGTTCTTAGGGGCCAGCACTGGCATGGGTTAGCTGAAAGCCATAAGAGACATGGACGTTCGCGAAAGGTGTTCTCTTTGTTTTTGCTAAAGCCTAACGCTGACTGAAAATACAATTATCGTTATGAAATATAATTACAGGTGATGTTATCAGAATTCACGGCAAACAGGCGGATGGATGGTGGCTTGGGGAACTGAATGGTGTGGTGGGCATCTTCCCTGCAACGTACGTGCAAGAGATAGACTGACAGCCTGGCCCATCATGTGTCATGCGAGAGAGGCTGTTTGAAGCCATTGGACTTTGTTTGGTGTTGGTTTGCACACAGGGTGTTACGAGGTGCCATGTGAATGGTTTAAATGTTAGGCGGAACAGGTGCCGTTTGTTTGTGATATTTGTTTTGTGCTTCTGTTCCGTTGAGATCGAGCATTTGCCCCGTCCAGAGTGTTTAGATGGATGGAAGCAAACTGCGCGCGTGTGTGGTGAAACTGCTATGGACATAACCGTGTTGCATGGTGCAACATGCCAGTGGGTCAATGTCTGGAGCTCAAAGTGCCAACGTACTGGATCTGGTGTATAATTTATCACTTCGGATTCCAAATATATAACACCAAGTGAATCTTGTCTTTTTTTTTCGTTTCTCTAAAACTTGTAATATTAAAAGTGGATACAAAGCTAATGACTCTATAATGTATTTAGCTTGGAATTGTTGTGTTAAAATATTTTGCTCTTGTTTGTCACAATATATCAATTAATAGGAATAACTAACTAACTTGATGGCTTACCGAACCCGAAGGTTCATCACCGAATTAACCAACGCCCTCCACCGGACCCTGTCCTGGGCCAACAAAATCCAGTTTCCTCCAACTCCTATCTCCCATAGATCCCGCCTGAGATTATCCTCCCATCTACGTCTAGGTCTCCCCAGCGGTCTCTTCCCTTCAGGTTTCCCAACCAATACCCGGTGCACACCTCTTGTCCCATCCATGCGCGCTACATGTCCCGCCCATCTCATTCTTCTCGACTTAATCACCCT